CACAGGAAGCCAAACCCAGCCACACACCAATAACACCATTTCCACATGGGTAGCCCACCATAGCCACTGCAATTGCCATGGCTGCTGCAAAAGTGGCTAGTCTCTATAGCAGCCACTGTATAGATGCCATGCCAGATTCTCAACTGAACTGACACAAGGAGAGGCACCAGCAAAGACCAAAGGAAAAAAAAAAAGAGGTCCTCTCTCTTCATAAAGTACACTCTAGAGTAACAGAAGAAGCATCTGATTTATGATAATAGGAGATAACTTGATCACACCTGTGTCACTATTGGACAAATCATCTAGGCAACAAACCAACAGAGAAAACAGTTAATCTATCAGATGTAGAGAACAAATCTATGGTTACTGGGGGGTGGAGGGGAATTGGATAAGGGGCATAATGTATGATTTGTAATAATGAATATGCTAATAAATTTTTTTAAAAATGACAAATTGTCCTTACAAGGACAATTAAAAATGAAGTTTGCAGCATACTGTGGTTCAACTTACCAGGTGGTAGAAGCTTCATATCAGCATCAAACACTAGTAAGTCTTGTTCTCCTTCCCTGAACTCAACATGGAGAATGTCACCAAGAGCTCCAACAAGTTCTGTCACATTTAAAAAGCCCAATTTTTTTGGTGAAAGTTGCTCTTTAAAAATTACCTGTCACAAAAAATAGAAGTTACATGAAACAACATTAGATAATAGACATATAACATATACAGATGCCCTGGGACAATGCTTTAACTTGAACTTAGCCAAACTAAATTTTTAAAGGTCAGTAAACTCAAGCATTAGTTCCACAGCAGTGTAATACAAAGCAAGAGACCAATAATCCTTCGCCATAAAACTAGGCCAGCACCAGGTTCCTTTTAGAGCATGTTGTTAATTAAAGTGAAAATTAGGGGACCTTTTCCCTTTCATTTTTTTTTTTTTTTCCCTTTTTGTCTTTTTTCGTGCCCGGCAACGGATCGCAACCCTCAGTGTCACGCCCGTACCGGACCGGGACCGGCAACGGGATCACAACCCTCGGTGTTGCTCCCGCCCCTCGCTCAGCCAGTGAGCGGCCAGTCTGTATGTGGGATCCGAACCCTCAGCAGGAGCGCCACCGCACTTCCCAAGCGGAGCACTATAGCAGTGCGCCACCGGGCCGGCCCCTTCCCTTTCATTTTTAACGATGTCTGATTATTAAGCAAAAGTCTTAAAAAAAAAAAAAAGGAAATGCACAAAATACAAAAATCATAATAAAACTATTGATATTTATTTTCCAAGAAAGAGAATATTCATTACCACTTCCAACATGCAGAAAGGTATTACTGTTTAAAAGCATTTCCTTAAATTTTATTATTTCACCTTAGAAGTTGGGATAAATAAGATGTCTATCAGTGCTTTTCCTACAGTATACTGTTTGATTTTCTTGCCTTAGAAAAGAAGAAAAGTCGTATGAAATAAAGAGATGAAAGAATATATATAGGATACTAAATACATTTTGGTTTAAACTGCAAAGTGAACTGCTAAGTTTGCTCTTGTTAATAAGACCTACCATTAAAATCTGTAAGTTCTTAACTAAACTTTCACCTCCTGAACCAAGATAGAGCAGTTGAGCTAATTATTATTATTAATAATAATAATATTCTTCCTCTTCCTCTGATGAGGGTTAAGTAGGAAATAAAGGATTGCTTCTGACCTAATTGCCTTGGATTAAGCTAATATGAACACAGAAGGCAAACACTATAAAAGGACTGACCCCTGATACAGGGTGGTCATGTTGCAGCACATACCTTCTTATTTATGTGATGCTCTGAGACCCAACTCAACTCTTTATGACTTCTCCCATGGAACACATGTAAAAGTGAGGGCCAGCATCAGTCAAGTCATGGTTCAAAAAGATCATTAATATCACATTGATAGCCACTTGTGAACATCCCGAGAGGGAAAGAATTGGTAGAGGGCAAGGGTGGTGGTAAATTAGTAGTATATCTACTTCCTTGTACATTACATATGCTTTTCCTTTTATGTTCATTAGTCTCTTTAATGGTTTCTCTACCTTCTCTGTATGTGCCTAGTACTATGAATATGCAATTCAATTGAACATATGACTAGGATGGGGAGAATTATTTTACGAAATACAGGTTACTAAATTTTTGAATAGGTAAGTTCATCTTCTTTATTTTTATTTTTTGGCAATTGGCCAGTATAAGGATCTGAACACTTGACCTTGGTGTTTATAAGGCCACACTCCAACCAACTAAGCTAACTGGCCAGCCCAGTAAATTCTTTTCAAAATGTTCAAAATATATAGCAAAAGCTTCTGCCTACCCCCCATTCTGCAGTCACCCACCTGTTAAGGAGCTGCTGTTAAGGGGTCATTACTGGTCAATGCCTAGATTTATTATCTAATTGAGGGTTTTAACATAGTGGTATTCTATCAATTCTTTTTCATTACTTAGTTGGAACACTTTTATAAAGATATGCTTCCCCTTATCTTCTATTTGGTTACCCAGTCACACCAGTTCACTTAGGAAAGTCAGGATATGTGATTGACTCTCTTTACCATTTTTCAAGAAAATGAATTGGCTTTCTATCATTCTCCACGTTGACCAATTAGTTCTTTTTAAATATCAAATGGACTCATGGAATTAAATATATTTGATGAGCTTGAAACCCTTGCAATTATTATCCTTACTAAAGCCTGAAATAACTCTTCAAGTAGATTTCTAAGCCCTGACATGAACCTAGTCTTTAAGAGCCTCCTTGCTGGTCTGGTATGACAAGATGTCCCAGGCTCAATTTGTGAAATTAGAATATCCTTATATATACTATTAAAAATATCCCATAATTATTCATTTGCTTTATACCACATTACACAACAATGGTCTCAGAATAACAATTATGAATGTTATCACCATGAATATTAATAAAAACAAAATACTTTCACATATGCTCACCCCTTTTCCTCCCACCACTTTGTGTAACTGTACTTCATCAACATCATCAGAGTACATAGCCATTTACACATGATATTCTCTACTTTCTAACCCTCATTTGATCTGAGTTCTGTAAGTGGCATTCATTGTCAGTCCTTTTGTCAGTATACCTTTAGTGATTTTGATTATGTGAAGTTTGTTTCCCCAGCTGATTCCTTGGGAAGGACTCATAGGAACAATAGTTCTTGAATTCTAGCATGGTGATAATGGCTTGTCTGGCTCTCCGTAGCCCAAAGTCAGGTCTACTAGCTGTAAAATCCTTGGCTCTTATTTTCTTTCCTTGAGTGTATGAAATATGTTGTTCTCTTTTCTTCTATCATAAAGCATTGCTGTGAAAATGTCTAAAAATCTAATTTTGTTTCCCTTAAAAGTCACTCACTCCTTTTGTTTAAAAGTCCAAAGGAGTTTTTTTCTTTTTCTTTAACATCTACTAATTTGGTGTTGGTCATTCTGAGCCAATATCCTCAGGTAGACAATATACTATTTCAATGTATAGTTTAAAATCTTCCATTTCAGTAAAAGTTTACTTGAATTATAGTTTTCAGCATTTATTGTATTCCCTTCTTTGGTTTTATTATTCATATGTTGGCTTTTCTTTGTTTTCAATTACCTGTTACATTCTCTTGAATCCATTTTATCCTTCTTTGTTTTTCCTAAGATTTTCTTAAGAAAAATTTCAAACACAGAAAGAGTAGAAAGAACTGGAAAGTGAGTTACACCACCTAGATTATATAATTGTTAGTACTCTGTTATATCTGCTTTATCATCTATGTGTTCATCCACCAATCCATCTATATCTTTAATGCATTTCAAAGTGACCTACAGACATCAGCACCTTTACCCCCAAAATATGTCGGCATGAACATCATTAACTAGAGTTCAATGTTAGCTTTTTTTTTTGGGGGGGGGGTAAAATTTCTATGCAGTGAAATGCATACAACTTAAGTTTACCATTCAATTAGCTTTTTTCTTTGCCCCTGCCCCCCATTAGCATTTCCTGGTTATCAATTAACTTTGACAAATGCAGAACTGTGTAACCTAAACCCCTACTCAAAATACAGAACATTTCCATCACCTCAGAAAGTTCTCCCTTTTCCAGTCACACCCAGCAGCAAACAATTCTTTTTTCCACCATAGATTAGCTTTGGCTACTGTAGTACTTCATATAAGATACTCTACAGTATATACTCTTCTGTGTGAGACTTATTTCAGCAACTAGTGTTTTTCAGATTCATCCATGTTCGTTCCTCTATCAGCAGTTTACTCTTTAATGTCGAATAGTACTTCATTGTACAAATATACCACAATTTATTAGTTCTATTGATAAGAGAATTATTTCCCCTTTTTGGCTATTAACGTATAAAGCTGTTATGAATATCACACAAGTCCTCTTTGGAGATACAGACTCTGAATGAATATCTGGGAGTATAATTCTGGGTCAAAGGTTATATATATACTTATTTTATAACTGTTAGAACGTTTTTCAAAGTAGATGTACCACTTGATAACTGTGCCAAAAAATTTATAAAAATTTACCACTTGTATTTACTAGTCATGCATATATCCACATTTGTGAAGTATCTGTTTAAATGTTTTGGCCATTTCAAAACAAATAGAGTTGTTTGGCTTTCTGTCATGGAGCTGTAGAAGATTCTTTATGTATTCTGGATATAAACACTTTTTTTATGATTGTAAGTATTTCTTCCTGGCCTGTGGTCCGTGCATTTTGTTTTTTTGGCAGCTGGCTGGTATGGGGATCCTAACCCTTGACTTTGGTGTAATGTCTATTCATTTTTAAACGGGGCATCTCCTAAATAGAAGTTAATTTTGATGAAATCTCATCAATTTTCTTTTAAATTATTATTGTTCTTTGTATCCTAAGGAAACTTTACCTATCCAGGCATGAATATATAAGTTTTCTTCCAGAAGTGTTAGAGTTTTTTCATTTAGGTCTATGATACATCTAGAATTAATTTTTGTACATAGTGTGAGGTTGGGGCAAGGTTCATTTTTTTCTTATATTCAGTTGTATTCTTGCATTCAGTTGTTCCAGTTTCACAAGTTGAGAAGACTTTCCTTTCCCCATTGAATTTCTTTAGCACCTGTCAAAAATCACTTGAGTGCATATGGGTGGATCTCCTAATGCATACTCTATATAAGGACAAATTCATGGATTTGTCAATATAGTTTATCCTTGAACACCATAGGGTTAGGGGCACTAAGCTCCCTCCCCCCCACCCACACACACACAATTGAAAATCACTATATGACTTTTGACTCACCCAAAGCTTTACTACTAAAATATTTTGTGCACTTTCCCTCAGCTCACTGTACTACATGCGCTGAGTCCCGCAGAGCGGGATGGGGGTGGGGGGTGGGGGAGCACATCGTTACTTAAGTGATAGTTATGAAATTAAGTTACTTAACTACTAATAGCCTGCTATTAGGTAGGATACTTAACTGTTTGGTTAGATATGTCATGCATTCAGTACATACCTGACCAAAAATTTCCAATATATTTATTGAAAAAAAATCCAAGTGTAAGTGGATCTGAGCAGTTCAAACTAATTAGTTCTAGTAGCTTTTTCATGGATTCCTTATTATATTCTACATAGACAATCATGTTTTCTGCAAACAAAAAGTTTTACTTCAAGTTTTTATGCTTTTGTCTTATTA